TATATTATGTGTGTGTGTGTGTGTGTATGTTCCTCTTCCTGATCGCATGCTACATTTCTTGTATTGGACAATGTCAAGTCGTACATCGTACTGCCCAATTCTTATTTATTTACACATGTAACACCCAAACTTCAATTTTTAACTACATGCCACATTCTCTATGTATAAAAATGTAATTTTCACTTTTTAAATAAAAGTTAAATGGTGGTATTTCTGTGATATGAAATATTTGAGTGATATAAATGTAAAAATAAAATATCAGGTGTTAGATGTGTGAATGAAAAAGAACGGAGTGGTAGGCTTGTGAATGTTCCTTGACAATATTACTTTCATTTATCGAAGCACTTTTTTTATTTATTTAGAGCAATTAAATTGGTGTCATTATAGTGCTTTTAAGATTTATTTTAGCATAATTGTATTATATTAATGAAAGGTGGTGTTGTGATAAGTATTGTACGAGCAAAGATATCATATGGATCTCTGTTAAACTATATACAATATTGTTTACATCGAAATGTGTCAATATGAATCGCAAAGACATCTCACGGTTGGAGGAAGAGTAGACGTGGCTCGATGGGACCTACCAAAGACAACCCAAGACAACATGCTCGACAGGCCCAGCCCCGTGTACCAAGAAGAAGGTGTGTTTCAGACGAATAAATGATAGACAACCCCCTGAAGAAGCACATCACCAGATCCACTTGGATGTCCTTGGCGTCTTCCAACCAGTGTAGATCAAGAAAGTGAAGCAAATCATCCCATTCCTGAGCGATTGATGTGACCCTCAGCAGGTAGCCACCCGGCTCAACGGACACTCGACTTGATGACCACCCGTCCCATCGACCACCCATCGTGATGGCCATCCAGCCCAGCCATATCCGTGGGTACCACGGGCCATATTTATGTACATACTAAAATATCCCCGGCGTTCCTATGTACTCTAGAAGAGTAGCATGCAATTGTATGATGATCCACTCCTATAAATAGGGAGTCTTTTTCATGAATAAAGGTTACACAAGTTTACTGTTTATTACTGTGTTATTTTTTTCCTTATCTCTTTCTCAACATCCTAAAAGGTGCAATGAGCATTGAGCATAACACTAACAAAACGAAAGACATTTTTGGGTTGGGGAAGGACTAAAACTTAGAAAAAAGAAATCAAAACTAGAAATGAGAAAAAAAAATGAAAGACAAGAAATGATAGAAGAAGATGGAGACATAAAATAACAAAACATAAAATGTAAGTGAAAAGACATAAAACAAAAATGTTAGAATACATAAAATTAAGAGGAAAAAAAAGACTAAATAAAGAAAAGAAAGAACTCCGAGCGAGCATGTGAACTCTCTTTAAGCCTCTCCTCTGAGACATTTAAACCTCTCATCCGGGGCGAGCATCCCAATGATCCATCTCTCGACTTGAGTCTCTCCTCTAGGATGAGCAAACAATGCTTCTTCTCCTACCTTAGGAAATCTTAAGAAACACATTCGCAAATCTCAAGTCCAAAGAAGCTGTGGAGATGGTTCCTTGCCTTGAAGGGATAAGTTTTGCAAGGGGAGCGATGCAAATCACTCCACAAGCGAGTTTAGGTGATTACCCCTGTGAAGGGAGTGATACTATCGCCTCATCTTATGTGAACGTCCGAGCGAGCATGCGAACTCTCTCTAAGCCTCTCCTCCGAGACTAGAGACAAGCGTATCATTTCTCTTGATTTAAACCTCTCATTCGGGACAAGCATCCCAATGATCCATCTCTCGACTTGAGTCTCTCCTCTAGGACGAGCAAACAATGCTTCTTCTCCTACCTTGGGAAATCTTAAGAAACCCATTCGCAAATCTCAAGTCCAAAGAAGCTGTGGAGATGGTTCCCTGCCTTGAAGGGATAAGTTTTGCAAGGGGAGCGATGCAAATCACTCCACAAGTGAGTTTCGGTGATTACCCCTGTGAAGGGAGTGATACTATCGCCTCATCTTATGTGAACCACCCCACTAGCATAATTCGGCTATTACATGTATTTTGCTAATTATATTCCAAACAACGACTCACTTAAAGAGTATAAAAAGACTGTTAAAAATTCATGCCCAGCCAGAGGCTTATGAAATGAAATTTTCTGCACTAATGAGTTTTTTATTATTGTCCCAGCTTTGCCTCTAAAAAGTGAAAAACTAGGTGGCCTCATGTATAACAAAAAAATAGGCCATCTCGTCGAACCAACAAAGTCTCCACCGTTAAAGACGTCGTCGTCGGAGTTATCACCAACACCTATGGTTGGTCGACCAACCTCGCCTGTTGGCCACCCCTGCTCGTCAGCCACACCAAGACAGCCACTCGAAGAACCGACCAGCTGCTTGGGCCGACCACACCCCTGCCGATCGGCTCAACTGACTACCTGAAGAAGAACAGACCGACCACACCCCTGCCGACCACAATGAAAAATGACAGTAGGCCACCTCCACCCTCAGATGATCAGTCACCTCAATCGATCACCCGATGCTAACAAAGACGAATACAAACCAAATTGCCCTTCATGTTCTTATAAGACAAGGGCATACATGTAATTTCTCCCCTTTCTTCTCTCTATAAATAGAGAGCCTCTTTGATGTAAAAGGGGTCCCGTTAGGCTCTCTCTTCCCCTCATATGAATAGCTTGATCCCTTTCTCCCGCCACCCTCAGATAATCGGTCACCTCAATCAATCACCCGTTGCTAACAAAGACGAATACAGACCAAATTGCCCTTCATGTTCTTATAAGATAGGGGCATACATGTAATTTCTCCCATTTCTTCTCTCTATAAATAGAGAGCCTCTTCGATGTAAAAGGGGTCCCGTTAGGCTCTCTCTCTTCCCCTCATATGAATAGCTTGATCCCTTTCTCCCTCACTTGTAACCTAAACTTGTGGGGAATAAAATGGTTAGCCGAGCTCGGGGACCACCCTTATTTTGCCACCCGACCCCCCCCCAAGACAAATCTGGATTCAACATTAAGTAAAATACAATTGAGTAATCTCAAAGAGCTATTTGGGTACTGTTGAGGATTTAGAAAATTTAATAAATTATAATTTAGTAAAGTTTTAAAATATGAAACTTGACTGATTATATAGTTGCTTTATTTGTAAGAAAAAGCACAAGGTTCAATAAAGTAATGAAAAAGATGATAGGGTTGCCCTAGTAGGGATGCAAGATAAAGCCCAAATTAGTAGGAAAGTTTTAAAAGGAATTCATATGGATATACGTCATTTTTTATTAAGATATTATTGTAATTAATCAGGAAAAATGGAATATATTTCAATAGAAAGCGAAATGTGATAATGTGTTCAATTAATTGAAATCATCATTATTTAGAAGCTTGAAGTAATGTCAATTGTTGAAGTTCAACTAAATTGGCTTGGCTCATTTTTGTTGTACATGATCAGAATGGTAGAATCTCTTGAAGGTTTATAACAAGTTGCTTACAAGTTTTATTCGTATTGAGCAAGTCATTGACGTAGCCTCGAATGTTTTTAACTTTTGGTTCTTTAAAGATATTGTCCAATATTCATTAATAAGTCATTTTTCTTCAACCTGGATATCATAACATTCAATATAAATCATCATCATTTATGATGGATGTTATCTTACAATTTATTTGATGCATCTTGATTTGGTGATATCCTAAAAAAATTTAAAAAAAAAACTTATTTTATTAAAATGATTAAACTATTCATAGAATGTAAATCCACAAGGGTGGATAATTGTCCCCCTGGTCAGCTTGATTTAGATTTATGAAGTTAATGCACATTCTATTGTTCCCATTATATTTTTTTAACCATGAGAACATTTATGTTGCAGTTTAAATGATGAATCTTTTGGATAACTTCATCTTCTATAATTTTTTTGTCATAGTATATAATCGTCTTAGCCAAACTTATTTCAACTTGATAAGTACCTCTGTGTAATCTCGTTTTGTCTAAGTCATGCCTAAGGAATAGAGCTTGGACAAAGAGAGGGAAATTGAGAGAGAAAGAATTGTTATGTTATAAGAGAGGACTCTACTACAACCAGCTGAGATTCAAGGTTGGGGATCATAATCAGTTTTACATTTAATCATGATCTTTTATAGGAGCATTTTCTCTATGTAAAATAATCATAGGTCTTCATGACGCCCTGGGTTTTAAAGACATCTTCTTGTTATCTTTTTAGTCACATTATCATTAAGATCGAGATCTTTCTAAAGATTTTCCTTCCAAAGTCAAACAGAGGGATGATTGCAAGCCTCTACCTTCCATATTTACATTCCTCTTTGCCTTTCAGCCTTCGATCACATTCGACCATTCGTACTTGGCTGATAATTGTCAGGGCCGTCGATATCGGGCCACTTGTGTCTTTTTTGTTTTGTTTTTTTGGACTGAATCTTTAGCTGGCCTAGACTGGGTCAAGAGCCCATTTAGATTAATTTCTAGTTCTACTTGTTCTCATAGCTGCTTTCATTTGAACAAATTGATTTGAAAAACGTTCAAAAAGCTTCTTGCGGGCAGAACAAGAGGTTCATATTTTTGAGAAACTATCAGATAAGTGATTAGAAGTATCGTACATTTTTATAAGCTTATGTTTGTTAGCAAAAATTCCAATGCATTAGTCTATACACATATTATATTTTATATACTTGAAACCATACACCATTTGTAAGAATTAATAAATCATTTGCCTGAGGAATAACCAACTCATCTACAATTTCAGTCGCGCCATTATAAATACAAATATTTTGATGTTATTTTTATAACTATGCATAAATCAAAATTCAGACAAAAAACTACATTATCAGACAGAAGACAAACTGAAATTCTGAACTCTGAAACTTCAATTTTCTTCTACTAATTAAAATAAAAGCAATGTCTCTCACAGATTACTTCCCTCCATCCAAAATGTTGCTCTATGCTTATTAATCCTCCTCATCTGCTGATTTACCCTCACCTCATAAGCACACCTTCCTTCAGAATATCTCAAAGAGGGCCTAAACAAAAGAAGTAACTAATCAAACCCACTGTACTCATCTACATACAGCAAATACACATATAGCTGCTAAATTTCAAAATGCTCGCTTTCATCAGACGAGTCGATGAATGAGGCTGCCGCTTTGTCCACGAACCACAATAGCTTCCCTTCGGTTGGGTTCACCAACCTTGCGGGCAGCGAGAAGGCATCAAAACTAGAACTGCGATCGACAACGAGCTGCAGAGCCATGGCCTTGCCATCACCAGTTGCCAAAATGGCGACGTTTGATGCCGAGTTGATCACCGGAATCGAAAAAGTTATCCTTTCTGGCGGGGACTCGGGTGAGTTGGTGATGTAGGTGACCCAGTCCATCTTGTGCTCGAGAGTTTTTTGGTGAGGGAATAGAGATGCTATGTGGCCATCGGAACCCAATTCAAGGAGGATGAGGTCGAATTTGGGGCAGTCGTTGTGCTCGGAGACATCGATTATGCGCAGCTTGACTAGCTGTCGGATTGTGAATTCATATTCGCCGGCCGCTTCTTCTACAGTCAAATTGTCATTGATGGAGTAGATATGGCTATTAAGGATGGAAACCTGCAAAAAGATTATGTTTTTCAAATTTTTGTTTGCGCTTTTTTTTTGTTCTTTTGCAAACATTCATACAATTTGAAGAGTGTATCCAATAGTAAAGCTTTGCTAATTCAAACTATTTATAATATGATTACTAAGGTTTAAATATACTCATCATCGATAATCATACAAGTACTGAGGAATAAATAGTCATCGGATTATTATTTCAGACTAGTAACAAGATATATACCCATATTTAGAGAAGCTATATTGAAAATACCTTAGAAAGGAACCCATCCTTTGTAAGCTTGTAGTTGCTATCAACATGATTCTTTGCCACCGCCCGCTCGTCAGCCCAAAAAACGTACCATTTCGCCCAGTCGACGGTCTTGTTATAAGGTGCTTCAGAAAGCTTTCTGCATCAGCAAACAAAATATTTGATTGATTTATAGCATTTGATTCGTGCAAGAACTGATATAGATGCAAAAAAGGAAAAAAAATTGTCAATATAGTTACCTCATCAGATAGATTAGTGATCCACCAGTTAAAGCAATAGTGAAAAATCCCCTCTCCTTGACAGACATCTCTGATAACTGAGCAATATACTCAGCCAAATCAGTAGCCAGATCATCCAAACTTCCAAAAACTCTAAGCTCGCTGTTGTTCTTCGCATAACCGGAAGCGGCCATTTTACAAAACCTCGATAGTTCACTTAACGAGACTCCCACAATCAAGGAAGTATAATCTGTCTATGAAATAAAAAAAATTAAGAAAAAAATCTAAAATATGAAGTATGTTGTGAAGATGTTAATTTAGCACAAGTTCAAATATACAATCACTGGTCACTACAAAAAAATTTTATACTATTTTCTTAACAAACAATGCATTCAAGGATTTAAGCAAATTATTGTAAAAAACTTTTCTCATATATGTAAAGCAAAAATTACAGCCTAGCCCGTTCTCATTGGGCAATGGCAAGTATGAGCTTGTAAAATGTACCTTACCCAAGCTACATATCTACAAGGAGGACAAAAAACTTGGGCCACGGATGAATTTCGAGGCCAATCCAATGAGCCCAATTGTAATTGCCAATAACAAAATAATCTACCTTTGACCACGGATGAATTTCGAGCCCAATTGTAATTGCCAATAACAAAATAATCTAGATTGTACGGTCACTTTAAGTGTATCAACAGCAATGTGCAAAGTGTCTCAAACTCAGTGACTTAACTGAGCAACTACACTGTTCACAAGATTATACTCTCCACATTTTAGTTTAACAGCAGTCATTCATTCTGTTGTTTACATGTTACATGAAAATGGAAGATTCAAGCATGAGATCTGGAAGCGTCAGCGAGCATGTAAGGAATCCATGATGTGGACAGTAAAGTTGGTTAGCAATGTAATGGAGTTTTGAGAATTTACATGGAAATGGAAGATTCAAGCATGAAATCTGAAAGCGTCGGCGAGCATGTAAGGAATTCACGATGTGGACCGTAAAGTTGGTTAGCAATGTAATGGAGTTTTGAGAAAGTTTGCTCCCTGCCAATAATAAATCTTCTCCCACACTAGTGAGGTCTCCGAGGGTTCCTTTTACATTCCAAGCATTTAACTTGAAAGAAATATAAATGCCTCAAGCAGCAATGGGAGGACAATTCAATATCTAGTCGCATATCTATTAAAGAATGAGAGGGTGACTCGGAGAAAATTTCTTCGTTGGAAACTTGGAATCCAGTGCAACGATAGCGTAAGCTTCATAAGGCAATTATCATTGCTTATTGACTAAAACTTAGGTGGTTATCAATAAATTGGATGGGACTTCGGTGAAACTAATTGAAGGTTCCAACAAAATAGTGTAGAAGAATGGAAAGATGAGCCAAAAGTTCAAATGTTAGTAAAGAGAAAGCATGCGAATACGAGCAAGCTTGCCTTCCTTCTTGGTAATTACTGAAGGGGGAGAGGATAAGTTGGTGGGCCTTAGCTATAAGTGAATGGCTCAATGAGCACACTTAGGAGCTAATTTTTAATCCAGTCTCTCACTTATAGATCAATAACCACATATATAAGTACTTTCCGATTTAAAAAATTGAAAGATCTTCAAGTCAAAAAAATAAAATAAAATAAAATCTATAGTTTTCTTGTCTGCTTTATACAACAATCGCACAGAAAGGATGTGTAAGACAAAAAAATTCAAAAAACTGAGAAATAGAGGAACTATTACAAAAAAAAAATTCAAAAAACTGAGAAATAGAGGAACTATATCATTTTACTGCAAAAGAAAATGACATTTTGTCACAATGACTAGCACTTGCACGCTGAGATTAAATTTTAAAACTTTAAGATCTAGCTAAGAATAAAGAAAAAGATTGTTCTCCTCAACGTGCGTTCAATATTAAAAATGACAAAAAAGATTCGGTCTGCCTAGAAAATAAATAAATAATTCACAAAGGATGAAAATTTTCATAGATGAATGGATAATCCTACTTGAAGTTCACAAAAAACAAAGCCCGGAAAGTAACAAAAAGCAGAAAGTAAGTTCTCTTGCTCACCACTTATTCTTTAAAATAAGCTCAGATAAGAATGAAATAAAATAATGTAAAAACCAGCAATTCTGTCAGCAATAACAGGAAAACTCCACAGAGTTACAAAACTCTATCTGAGATTCTAACACCATGATTAGTCCAAAGGCATCGCTGTCTCACATCATCACTAGTGACACAAGCTAGAAAGCAACATTTGACACACAGACAATGCACCCACATATGTTTGCAAAATCAGTGTCAAATAAGCTCATATATTGAAATAGTTTAAAATAAGATCAAACAACTCTTACATTTAGAAATAAAACCACAAAATTTATATAAGATCCATCAAGCATATTAACTCAAACTGCTTAAAAATCCGATCCATTTGCTTGATTGGAGTTTGAAAACATGTCTTTGTAAGTAACGAAATTCAATAAATTCAAGAATTGGGCATGCTTAAAATTAACACTGATTCTTAGCTTCACAAAGAACTTATCAAATGTAATAATTTTAATTTCGCAATCAAACTGAGAGATAAAAAAATCAACTTGCTCTAAAACATGTTTTATATAACCCTTTTATGAGAAGAAAGAATCAATGAGGCCTACTTACAAGCAAACACCAAAAGATTAACGGCTCATTTCACTGCTCAAAGTAAGATAACATGTTCTAAAAATATGAATTTATTAGACTCATTCATTAGGTTGGATGCAGCTTGTAATTAGTATCGATTTTCAAATCTGCACACATCTTCAAAAGCTCTTAAGAGTGAGGGTTTCATTTTTCAAATCCAAAAATAAAAAAGGAATACAACCATCATTTTTCCAAAACATATTTCTCAACGATAAACAACTAAATGAGGCTTAAGAATAGAAGGGGACCATTATTTTTCGGTTATTGAAGGTACACAAGGCTCATCAGCCAAAAAACTCGTTTAAAAATTATTCCAAGTTCTCCTGAAAACAATAGAAACACAGTTCCAAAGCAAGCTACTGCTGCTTTTATCATCCAAAGCCAAACTTACAAGAAAAAACTGAAGAAGATGAAGCAGAAAACAAACAAATGCATTCAAACGAGAAATCTACAAGTAAAAATCAGACCTTTACATAGATCTTAAGCGATCAAATATATCCATAAGAGAAAAAAAACACACAAATCCCGTTTCAGAATCCCTAACTGTGCCAAAACCTTTCAAATCAACAAAAAGAGGAGAATAGCTCACAAGAAACAAAATCAAAGCATGTCCTCACTACCAAAAAAAAAAAAAAAAAACCAAACAAAATATTTAACCAATCCCACAAAAAAAATAAAAAAACAAAATCGTTAAATTTAATTGAAGAGTACTCACTGCCCAGCTCTACCTATACATGCATTCAACGCATCCACTACTAAAAATCGTTCCAAGCTTCCTCCTTTATCCCACTAACCATTCTCCAAATCTTTAAAAAAGTGATTTTTCCGTAATTCCCATATCTTCCTTCCTCAGACTCTTTCAGGCCTTCGTCGATGCACCTCGCCAACTATATAGGACAAGTTCGCAGAAATTATTTCTTTTTCCAGACTTCAAGAAAACACACGGCTAGGCGTTCTTCGCAGAGTAAAACTTCATTAACAGCTGTACCAATAAAATTTTCCCAAGTGGAGAAATCTTGTTAAGTTCTGCAAATCCCACGGCTCGCGCTTTTTAAACTAATGATTCTTCACCCAACCTTATCCACCCAAATTCAAACAAAATTTACGTAGTAAGTGAAACATAGAAAACAAAAAAAGAGTCAGATTTACATTGACAACATACACATCACTCAGTTCCTATGCAATTACGTATCTAACACAGCATTTTACCTATATAAGAAAAAAATGTGTTTCACATTTTAGATAGTAAAAAAAAAGATTTTTTTTGTAATATGAAATATGTGATTGGTATTAGTGTAAAAGTCAAAATTTCGGTGTAGATATGTAGATACATAGGGGCTTAGTGGCACGTATGTGAATGGCTCAAAAAACAGAGTCTCAATTTACTGTACTCGAATGCTCCAATATGAATATATATATATATATATATATATATATATA